AACAGCCAAATTACTCTCAAAGTGGCAGAAAACTCAGCAAAATCATAGTGACAACTCTGGACTACAACTTAATGTGAGGCTCAGCCAACACAAAGGCTGGGTTCTTATCAATGCACACAGCTAAGTATACGTGAAGAACAGGGGAGGACTCAGAGCCAACCTGGATGAGCTCCATCAACAGACCTCCATCCCCAGTTTCAGTCGGGACCAATGTTCCCTCTAAGCCAGTGGTGGCGAACCTATGGCATGGGTGCCAGAGGTGGCACTCAGAGCCCTCTCTGTGGGCACGCGTGCCATCGCCCCAGCCAGGCCCAGACCATCATTAAAGTGTCAAATTCTCTGCCAAATAATTTTAAGTAAATAAAAGCATTTGGGATTGCTTTCCTTACTTTGTTTGGATCATCTTAAGTTAATGGATGAGTTGTTTTTTCTAAAGTAAAACCTCAGTATTCAGGTTAAATTGCCGTGTTGGCACTTTACGATAAATAAGTGGGTTTTGGGTTGCAGTTTGGGCACTCGGTCTCTAAAAGGTTTGCCATCACTGCTCTAAGCTGTGGAGTCCTGTGAGCAAAAATTCTACTTTGTGAGCTACTGGCATTAAAGTTGTGAGCAAGTGATTTGGCTGCTGCAGAAATTAATTTGCTCTGGAGCCATCCTTCCTGAGCCAAGACAAAAATGTGCGAGCCAGAGGCTAAAAAGCTGTGAGCTAGCTCATACTAACTCAGCTTAGAGGGAACTCTGGTCGGGTCACTGGTGCTAAGTGGAGGGTTGATGTTAACTGTTGGAACAGTGCAATAGTAAATCGGCAAATACTCAGTTCTTCAAGGGGCCAGCAGATGTGTCTAGCCAGTTAGGGATATTTGTATTTCTCTTTTTTTCTGCCTGCTGAGCTGCCTCCTTGTTTGTCTCACAGTGCAATTCTTCTTCTCTCTCTTACTTTCTACCATCTGTATAGAGGGTTCCCAACTCTGGCTTGGGAAGTTCCTGGAGATTTGAGGGTGGTATCTGGAGAGAGAGTGGAGTTGCGATGCCATGGAGATGTGGTGCCAAGGAGTCCACCCTCCAAAGCTGCCATTTCCTCCAAGAGAAGTGATCTCTGTAGTCTGGGAATCAGTAGTAATCGCACGACCATTACAGGACCCACCCTGAGACAGGTAACCCTATGTAGCTCCAATGCTTCACCTTCTCTCTGTCTAGTAGTGAAACTCCCAAGAAGAAATAAAAGTTTCCTGCGTTCTCTTTAACTCCAAAACAACTCCAGCACATTTCTTTATCAACAAAGAAAAATCTCAACTCTGCCAATATAAACCCTCCCCCTGACCCTTGTCCCAACATAAACTGGCCCCTGGGGGGTGCCACTTGCCCCAGTAAGGAGAGCTTGTCTGTTCTGCGTACAAGGACAAATATCACCACCCAATGGCCAATTTACATTGGGAAAGGAAGACAAGGGGAGCATGTTTATTTTGGACTACTTATACCCTAAGGTATATTATTTTGGAATACTTATACCCTAAGGAGCTGCGGTGGCTCAAGTGGTTAAGACGCTGAACTGCAGGCTGTGGAAGTTCAGTAGTTCAGCAGTTTGAGACCCAAGTTGCCGCATAACGGAGTGAGCTCCCGTCTCTAGTTCCAGCTCCTGCCAACCTAGCAGTTCGAAAGCAAGAAATTGCAACTAGATAAATAGGTACCGCTTCGGTGGGAAGGTAACAGTGTTCTGTGCGCCTTGGGGTTTAGTCATGCCAGCCACATGACCACGGAAGTCTTCGGACAGCGCTGGCTCTTCGGCTTTGAAACGGAGATGAGCACCGCAACCCTAGAGTCGGACTCGACTGGCTTTCGAGCAAGGGAACCTTTACCTTTACTTACTTATACCATAACTTCCTAGTTAAAATAAATATTCAGGACAGCTAACAAAAGCAAAGTTTTAAAAACAGCAGTTAAATAGAAGTTATTCCCCCCCAAACACACACACAAGGCAGCACCACAGTCCTGACCACCCTGCATGGATTGTTATTTAGAGAAGTTTAAAGTAACAGGAGATCCAATTATGGATTTCCAATATCTTGTCTAAGTTGGCTCTTAGCAGAATGCCCATGGGGACTTTTCTGCATGCAGGAGATGATTATTGCGCTAAGCATCTCCTATAACACGGCTGAGTAAGAGTCTTCTATGCGTGTGCAGACTGCACTCTCCCATGACTGAATGCTCCTCAGTGCCAAAACAAAAACCCCAGCACACTGAAAACTGGCAAGTTGGGTGAAAGGGTTTTGCCTAGCCTCCATCCTGTGGTATGCAAGTGACCACATGAATATTTATAAGCCCACATCACCCTCTTGATTCCTCTAAGAGAAAGCCCTACATTTCCCGCTGGCATTGTTCCCAGGCACTGTTGGTTTTTAAGAACCAAGAGGAAAATTGACATTTGATTTTTAAAAAGGACACACACCCTTGCTTAATCAGATCAACGACAAGCTTTTTTCCTAGCCCAAAGGGGAACATATTTCCATCTCAGATGCCAGGCCTCTGAAATGAAAAACCACACTGGTTCAAAAGCTGGTGATTTTGGTCAATCTGCAAAATTATCTCCCAAACTTACAACTGAGCTCTGCAGTTATCATATAATGTTTTCGCACACGCTGCTTCCCAAATGGGTGGATCCTAAAAATTGTCCTGTGTGAAAACTTCCAAAAATGCTAGCTGAAATCCACTCTTTGCAACCTCTCTGTATTTCTCTCTCCAGCCCCTTGATTAATAAGAGAAGACGTTAGTTTGGATTCTGAATGCAGTTTCTTGATCCAACTGGCATGCAGATGTTACTTCCCCCTCAACCCCGGTTGGAACTTTAGTCGATTTTGGATCTAGCAGCTAACATATTTAGAGCTAATTAGCCAAATTTATTACATGTGTCTTTTCTGTCCAGATAAAGCTCTTCTGTGTTTTGTTTGGTTTGTATAAAGCATTGTGCACTGTTGCTAGCTTAGAAAACAGGGGCTTCTTTGCACGCCATCCATTTTAAGGATAAGCAATTCATTTTCCAAGTTATCAAATCTAGTTCAATATTGTGTCCTTTGACTGGCAGCAGATCTCCAAGACCTGTGGCAGAGGAAAGGTCTTTCCCAATAGCCAACAACTTTCAACTGATGCCTCCATCAATTGAACCTGGCAAGGCACATGCATGGCCAGTGAGCTCCGGATACCTCCCAAGTAGAGGGAGGGGGAGAGAGAGATGAAACTGCACCCCTCTCATAAGCATGGTATGAAGAGAGGGTCGGGGAGGGGTGCTGGACAGGATGGCCCTTTACTTCCACCCCGGGAACAAAGCTTACTCATCCTCCAGCTCCTCCTGCAGCAGCTGTTTCAAGGTGGAAGCCACCTACTGACTACAAACTCCACCTGCCCACTGCTTGGGATATGGGGTAGGTCTTACAGTGGGGGAACAATGCTCAGAAGAGCCACAGGTGGCTCCCACACCACTATCATTATTCTAATATTACACCATGCTGGCCAGCAAAATTGCAAATATACCCAGTACTTGAGAGAGCTGCAACCTAAGCGACTTCAGCACAGATTCCTTAATTTTTGCCTTATAAGAGGTAGGAAAAAACAGAAGATGAAACTGGAAAACAGATTTTGTAATGCAGGCAATAAAGTGTTATGCACATTACAGAATATTAACTGCTGTCGAAATTATCACAGTTAAACAATAAAAATACCCTTGAAAATATGTTTTGTGTCTACAATATACATCACAATGATCATCTATATATCTAATAGCGAAGGCGTCCCCTGCGTGCGGATATCCAAATCCGCAGATCGGGGACACCTAGGGGGCAGGGAAATTTTACTGCACATCTTTCCCCAGATGTGCAGAAAAATCTAAAAACTGTAAAAAAAAAACAGAGGGGGGGATACTGAAATCCCCAAAAAAGTAAAAGAGCGTCCCCTGCACATGCACAGAGAATGCTCTTGGAACAATGGCGGTGGCAGGAGGGGTGGGGGGAGGAGAAGGCTTGGCCGACCGGCAAGGCCTCGCCGCCGCCGTCACTGCCAGTGGGGGGGGAGTTTGGCGGGCCAACGAAGCCTCGCCACCGGGGGGGAGGG